GGTAGACTATTCCTTCTACTTAAGTCTTCTCTTAGCCTAGAAGCTCCACTGAAACCTGTTTAGTCTAAGGATCTCTGCTGGGAGCTGAAATCCCTGCTGGTGGCTCAGCATCACACAAACCACCACAGTATCACAAGCTGACAGACAAGCGGGGTAAATTAAAAAGGAATGATAGAATTATAATAGCACCATTTTTCAAGGCCCTAATACAATTATTGATCGAGAAAATAATTATCAATGGTTTTTAACATGCCAAGAGTAAAAGCCAGAGATTGTGTGTCTCCTGGAAGAACTATGTTATACTACTTCATTACTCATTAAGCACTCTTCCCAAAAGAAATTTTAAAAAGCCAACATGAGCCTAATCAAGCCTTTATATCTGCCTACCTACAGAAAACACAGTTAGAGAAACATGGTAAACACCACCACGAAGATACAATTACAAAAATACAGCCTGTGAGAAATTCTCTAAGAAAAACATATTACCAGAAAAAGGGGAAAGAAGAGGAAATGGGAACCTAAAATTAAAAGACATTTGATTAAATACAATGTATGAATATAATGTATGTACCCTGATTTAATGAAACAACAATAAAAAGATTACAAAACACTCATTGTACATTTGATAATATGCATCATTTGCTTACAGGTGAAAAGAGTACTGTGTCTATATAGTCTATAAATTACAAAGGTAAATAAATTTTTTTATCTTTCAGAGACATATACTATTTTCAGAAGACATTACAATTTGGGGGACTTGCTACTAAGTAACCCAGTTGTAAGGGACTAGGTACAGTCATAGATGAGCTATGAGTTGCTAATTTTTTAACACAGATAGTGGACACATGCACTCATTAAGCCAATCTTCCTATCTTTATATATAATGGAAATTTTCTGGATAAAAAGTTAAGGGAAAAAAACTAAAAAAAAATTTGAGTTTAGATATCTACAAGATTGATTCCCACAATTCTTTTTAATAATCATAAAAGATACTTAGCTCTATGTTTCCAATATGCAGTATCTATCCCACTGACACCTGCCATACTCCCATTATAAGAAAACCTAACATATCAGAAACTTTTGAGACTGGGAAAGAAAAACAGTAAATGGATATAAGCACAACCCATCCCTGGAGCTCTTCTGATGATGATCCTATCTAAGTCTAGTTGCTCAGGGGAAAACTCAAGGGGCTTCAAAAGATTTGTGGGAAAATCCCATTATCTTTTAATCCCATCCTTCCAGGAACTTTTTGAAACCTCCCTCATATGTTGAGCAGAAAAAGCACTCAAACAACCTCCTAAAATACTAAAGATTGCTCCTTTCCACATACTAACTGAAATTAAAGAAGTGGGTGACAGGCAGAACTCCTCATCTGTATTCAGAGTACTTTAACTTCTCCAAGTTCTTTCATATACATGTCACTTATCTTACAGCCTTGTAAAGCGGACAAAGGAAAGCCTCACTTGCTAGAAGAGGTCAACGCCAAGAGGTCACAATGCTGTTTTGTGTCAGAATGCAAATCCCTGGCCCTATGCTAGTGCTTTCCCTACTAAATCATTACATTCCCATTCCACTGGGTTTAATTATTCAATATAAGAGGGGATAGCTGCTCAGATCTCTTTTATTACCACTTAAGTCATAAATACCTGGTAATGTGTGCTTCTGCACATGCAATGTGTAGATTATTGTTGCATGCTGGACAGCTCCCCAAAATTAAAGTTTTGGACAGCTCAGAATGGCCTAGGAAACTCAGGCATGAGGAAAACGTTTTCTGTCAGAGGCCACTGATAATCAGGAGATAAAAAGAATCATTGAGAACTCGTGAAACTTTACCACATGTGTTTGTACATAGATTTGCATGTTGTGGAAAGTTGGAAAAGGGCAAAAAAATTAGTAAGGACCCTCTTTTCTACCTTAATGGATTGACATTCTATTTATTTATACCTGTCTGAGTTGCACTAGAAGTAAAGACTAGGAATCCTTTATACACAGTGAGAGGGTATACCATTTATCGGTTCTGGATAATTAAATTTGAAATAGCCCCCTTAGCTCACCCTTTGGCCCCTTTAGCTTACTATCCATATACTATCCCAACACTCATCATTCTGTCTCAGGATAGGAATGGACTCTAGGCAGGCTTGAAGCTTAGGTCCACTGAAAGAAGCTAAACTGGGAAAGTTGTCTTCCAATTAATCCAGTCTCACAATGAACACTCAAATATGTGCTGGAATCCTTTGCCCCAATTAGTTGCTCCTCATGAAAGTTGACAGACACATATCCAGAGTCTCTGGATCAATAGAGGGATAAATGTGAAGGATGTCATCGGCAGCTACATGTCCTTGTGAGGACGAGAGAAGCCTTACTTTTTCTACCTGGAAGCATGTTGTGTTGTCTGGCTTGTTTCCACAACCTTTTGGTAGTACAAAAACATGACATCCTCAAATTGTGTCTGATAATTCTTTCCGTTGGCGCTATCAGTGCCCTGAGAGGACAGCCATGCAACCCGCAACTAATCCCCAACACTGCTTTAAATCAGTAGAGTCTTCTCAGAAATTATGACCCACTTTAACACCTACCCTAAAAAGTCTGCAATTCAAAAGGTGACCCCATTGCCAATAAACTCCAATGGACTTCATGGGCATCTTTGAGAAATAGTAGAGATGAGCTGCCATGCCATCGTTGTGAATGTCCCATGAAGCTACCACCAGGGATGCAAGTTCATTTGGAACTAATATGTTCTCATTCTAATACTTTCAAAGATGGTTCAGACATAAGATTTGGAAGAAAATTAATATTTACAGATTACCGACTGCATGCCAGACTTTATACTAGCTATTTTATAAAAATCTCATTCAATCCTAATATCTTTCAAGCTCTGTTCATTATTACTGCCTTGAATCATGGTGCGAAAGGAGGGAACCCAAGGAAGTGGCTTGTCTTATAGCTAATAAGTCGGTGGCCAAACCAAAACTTGAACCTAAGTCAGTACAAACATCTTTTTTTTTTTTTTAGTACAAACATCTTTATGGACTTGCTTCTTACTATCTATTTGATTTCCAAAGGACTTACAGGGTTTATAATGGTATTTCTACTTTATTTTTTTGTGAGAAATTCAAAGCTTTAATACACAGTAACTTCCATCATGACTGGAAATAATGTACTACATAGAGTAGATGTAGATAGAACAGAAATAGATTTTCATGACAGTCTACAGCAAATTCCTCTCTTTACCAAGTAGATCTTCTATAGTCAGGGCAAGAGTAGAAATAACCTTTTGCTCAACCTCGAGAGCATTTTAAAATATTTGGAATGTATATAATCCTTACCCAACCCCACATTTCAAAATTTAGAAGCAATAATCCTGCTACAAACTTTGTCAGGCTACTTTGATGACCTTCAGAGTTTTACTATAAAATTTTTTTAAAAACCCACTAAAACATATAGATGTCGATTTGCTAAAAGCACTTTAAAATGGATTAAAGACAAAAAGAATAAAACAATTTTCTAAATTATATATACTACGTAGGCACATTAGTATGAAAACGTGTCAGTAGTAAAGCTCATCACATACAGATCACTTACTACGTGCCATTTACTTTATTCATGAGTTTTTACTTCCTACCATACAAAAAATACTATTAGATATATTACTAGCTCCATTTTACATGCAAAGGAAGAGTAGCACCACAAGCACAAGTAACAAAGTAACAAAGCTAGAAAGTAGTGGAGCTAGAATTCAAACCTAGGTTTGTCCATAACCACAGCATCCTACCTCCTACTTCTCAGCCACAGGGCCCTAGTGGTGCAACAGTTAAGCACTCACCAGCTAGTCCAAAAGTCAGTGGTTAGAACCTGTCAATGTGGCTCCGTGGGAATAAAGGCCTTGTGATTTGTTCCTGTAAAGATTATAGTCTAGGAAACACTATGGAGCAGTTCTACTCTGTCCTACAGTCATTATGAGTCAAAATCAACTTGCTAACACACAACAGCAGTCCTTATATGATAAAGGCATCCTGCCCACAATTCCTAAACCACTATAGATATACATATACTTATTTAAAGCCATCATTAACTATATACATTAATTTATCATAGTTCATAAAATCATCAAATGAAGTGCCTGAGAATTACCATCAGAAAAATTCACGTAAGGCATGGATTTTTACATAAAATCCTGAGCAATCAAGAACAGATAGGTTACCACCACCACAAAAACTTAAAACTTTTTCTACTGCCTTAAATTTAACATTTAAAAATTAATCTGAATAGGGCAAGACTAGGAAGTCATTTAAGAATTTAAGAAAAGCGGGAAGGGAGAGAAAGGAGGAACCCATCAAAAGGCTGGGTATATAGCCCCACCCCTACCCCCAAAAGGGATGAATAACAGAAATGTGGGTGAAGGGAGACAATGGACAGTGTAAGATACTAAATAATAATATATAATTGACAAGGATTCACGAGGGAGGGTAAGGGAAAGAGGGGGAAAAGAGGAGCTTATACCAAGGGTTCAAGTAGAAAATGTTTTGGAAATGATGGCAACATATGTACAAATATGCTTGACACAATTCATGAATGGAATGTTAAAAGTGCTGTAAGAGCAATGACTTAAAAAAATTTTAAGAAAATTCAATCACTATAAACCATGAGCCTAAAAGTTGAACAAAATAACTAATTTTTTTCAATCACATTGGATTCTTAATAATGGAATTATTAAAAATATTTTGCACTTTATCTAAAGTTTTATAATTAGTCAAATTATAAGGTATAAATACATTATCATTTGAACAATTCTAAATTCCTAAATGGCTATATTTCCCATGTTCCAGTGGTTGAAATTTATTTCTAAAAGTAAGAGTAACATTTCCCAAACATGAATTTTTTAATCTATGAGAGTTTGAATCTAAACATATAATTTTTTTCAATGTTTAAGATAAAACTTTCAAAATGGGCAAGATAAAAGAAATTTCCTAAAATATGTCAAAGAACAGATCTAGCCTTACCTCCATTGCTAAAGCTGCTGTCTGTTGGTCATAATGATTCAGAAGATTAGGCATGAAGGTAGTATTATAAGGCAAATCTTGGCACATTCTCAAAGTAATAGGTTCACAAGAAAACAAACTGTGCCCACCTATGTGCCCCACAAACATAGTCAAGGGCCAAAGATAAAAGACGACCCAACTCACAGCCATCCTTTCAGAGTCTGAATGAGATGCAAATGATTAGGCCTACTCAGTATCTTTAGATCTTTGGACACCTGCAGGTCTCAGCTTGAAAGTACTTCTTATGTATCTTACTGTTGAGTTCTTCAAACAGTCCGATACTCTTTGCACCGTCAGAGCGTTGTTAGCTTGGTCTCACAAAGGCATTTGTTTTTGGTTTCACAATGTGGGAAAATGACATCATCTTGTCTCTTCTTTCCATTTTATTACATAGGGCACTTTTGGCCAACTTATCAAGTTGATTAACCACATTCCCAAACAACAGATTCCATCGTAGGTGAAGAGCTATTTCTTCCTTTGATTAAAATACCTGAAAAATATTTTTGAAATAGATTAGTCATGTCTTGTCCAATAGTAAATGTATTTAATATTAAGCTCTATGATGAAAGGTAGCATAGTGATGTAAGAGATATATAAATTCTTCATAATACTAATTTCTGGAATCCTTGGGTGGTATAAACTGTTAATGCACTTAGTTGCTAACCAAAAATCTGGAGATCCATTCTACTCAGTGGAGCTTTGGAAGTGGGGTCAGGTGATTTACTACTAAAAATTCATCTGCTGAAAACTCAGTGGCACATAGTTATACTTATGATATAGTTTTACTCAGTGTGATACATATGGAACATAGTTATACTCATATGATATACATAGTTATACTCGTATGATACATAGGGAGCATAGAGATACTCTATATACACATGAGGTCCTCAGAGTCAGACTTGACTTCATGGCAACTAGTTTTTTAAAAAGGTTTTCTAATTTATCGCTTATGCTATATATATACTAAAACAATCCTTGCATGGCATTTAAAAGCAAACTGAATTTTTTTCTCAGATGTTTATACATGTTATATAGCACGTCATTTAACTTCTTACTTTTGACGGCAATTTTTCAAAATCTGATCCATTTTGTAAAATTCTTATGTTGTTAACATAAATTTTGAGTGATATTTGTAACACCTAAACCTTAAATTATTAAATTTAAAATTCATTATGTTTTAATCATTAATAGTGAATTTTACCTGAATTTATTTGGCAGAAGGCATCTGTGATACCTGGAAACAATTCTAAAATAAAAGGATACAGAATCAAACCTCTTGCTATCTGTGTGAATGTAAATATATTCTCTGAATCCAGAATTTGTTCTTCCTTCAAACAATCCCAATATCACTTCTCTCACAAGGGTGAGCGTGAATTCTAAGATAAAGTATTAAAAAGGACTTTATAAATGGTACGGCAGCATCAAACATTAGGGTTTAATTATTTAATTAGGGTGGTACACAGGCTACCTCTACGAACCAATGTTGAGCTGACAAAAGGTTCTGGAAATTAATATAGGAAATTTCTCTATGATTACATCATCATTTTAGATAGTGCAAAGACAGCACAACAGATGCAGCCCCTGAATCAGAAACATTTGACCAACATCTGACTATTATACACAATCAGGATGGACAGAGGATGGAAATCTACCTAAAAACATCACAAACGTACAAGCAAAAATAGAAATTACTGTATATACCTTGTGTATAAGCCGAGTTTTTTTCAGCATATTTTTAATACAGTTTCTGTGGTAAAATTAGGTGCCCCGGCCGATATTCGGGTCGGCTTATACTCAAATATATATGGTACTCCAAATTCGTTTTCTGGGAGATTTAGAATCTCATCTCTGACTTGCCTCTATATCTCCAGGAGAGAGAATATATTTAAGTCTTGATTGAGATGGGGAGGTTGTCAGTAGAGTGGAAGAAGGCAGGTTTGGTGTGAAAAAATATATGCTCCAAGCCAGTGTTTCCAAAAGTAGGCAAAACCACCCCCTATGGACACTGGGAAGATCCAAAGGGGCTATAAAAGTGGATTCCTATAGTTTATCCTGGATTATGGACTATAATTTTAAAAAAGTTAGTAATTACCAGGGAATGCTGAGTAATTTTTTCTGAGGAAGAGGCAGTAGGTCAAATACATTTGGGAACCTATCACCTGAACTACCATGCATACTATGATTTGGTTTAATAAGGATGTTAAATTTGCTTTTATTTTGTTTCATACGCACTCTATGTTTTTATGTTTGTTGTGGAGAACCTAGGTTGGGGAAAATGAGAAATCCAGTTTCAGAAATTCTTAAGAGATGTAAGTTATAAAAAACTCAAACTCACTGCCATTGAGTCGATGCTGATTCACAGTGAGTCTACAGAACAGGGTAGAACTGTCCCAGTGAGTTTTTAAGATGGTAACTCTTCAAGAGCATAGAAAGCCCCATTGTTTTCCTGTGGAGTGGCTGGTGGTTTTGAACTGCTAACCTGTGGATCGCAGCTCCTTGTAAGTTAAATGTTGTTGTGCCATCAAGTCGGCTCTGACCCATATGATGACCCTATGCACAACAGAACAAAACACTGCATGGTCCTGTACCATCCTCACAATTGTTGGTATGCCTGAGCCCACTGATTAAGCCTCTGTGTCAATCCATCTCATTGGAGACCTTCCTCTTTTTTCCCACCCCTCCACTTTACTGAACATGATGTCCTTCTCCAGGGACTGGTCTCTCCTGACAATATGTCCAAAATATTAAGATGAAGTCTTGCCATCCTTGCCTCTAAGGAGCACATATAAATCAGTTTGTCCTTTTACAGTTCAAGGTACTTTCAGTATTCTTCTCCAACACAATTCACATGCCTCGATTCTTCTAGTCTTCCTTATTCAATGTCCAACTCTCACATGCATATGATGCAATGGAGGATACCATGGGTTGGATCAGGCGCACCTTGCCCTCACAGTAACATCCTTGCTCTTCAATACTTTAAAGAGGTTTTGTTTTATGTAGCAGATTTACCTAATGCAACCCGTCTTTTGATCTTGTTGACTGCTGCTTCCATGAGCATTGACTGTGGATCTAAGTAGGGCAGAATCCTTGGCAACTTCAACCTTTTCACTTACTACTCAAATACTAGGACCCATAGCAGACTTTGGAGTAGAGCTGTTTAGCTGGTTAGGTTTAAGCAGGGAATTAAACTGTCTGTTCTGCACTGGCTATCAGTGAGTTGGAACTGCATCTCAAGTTTTAGTAAGTAGGTAGATTTATTGGGGGAAAGTATAATAGTAGCTGAATTCCCACAGTTTCTCTCAAGTACGTGATCTTGAGTGACAGATGCAAAAAGCCTTTCCTTTGAATTAGGAGCTTTAAGTTTATGAGCAATCCCTATCCAATAAATTGGACTTGCGAGCTTCTGAATTTCCTCGCATTCTATATTACCCGGCCTACCATATATTTTTCTCCTCCAAGTTGTTCTTAAAATGTGAGATCAGCCTATCACTCACTGCTACTGAGCCAATTCTGACTTACTGAAACCCTAAAAACAAAGTCATTTATATTTAAGCTTAGTTACCATGCATCACATTAACAGTTATGCATATTGTTAGTATGGATCAAATAAGTGTTGATGGCTTTATTTGATTATAACATTAAAACAGCTATGTAAATTCTGTCTTTATAGTTTCTTGCTTATGTAAATTGTTCTTCTGCTTGCAACTAAAAAAAAATTAAAGGGAATATCACTCACTTCTGAATATATGTATAAAAGCACCAAGAATTCCATTTCAGTTCATCTCTTTTCAGGGAGTTAAGGGTTTCAAATTTATATTCAAAGAACAATACCATACAACAAAAGAAGAAACTGAGTAATGCATCATGGGTTTTTAAAACCACATGAAACATACCCTTATATTTCTCCCTACTATAATTATTTTACCTAATTTCCTCTAGATTGCTCCTTATGCCTCATTTGCAAGGGATGCTTCCAATCCCCTTTTAAAGGTGCTTCTTTTGAGTACTATAAGGTTCAAACTATCATAAATCAAAATATTTTTAGAAATTCTATGATGTTAAACTGTAGGAAAATAATAAGTGTATCAAATTTGCAAGTTACAATTATGAAAATAAACGAGAAAAGAGAGAAATGCAGTGAGGAAAAACAAAAAGGCAAAGTTCTTAAAGAATTTAGGTACCTCCAGAAGGGCATTTTAATACGTAGCTGATACATGGATCTTCTCACTAGGTCTTTTTGAGATTTGAATCTCTAGAGAATGACCTACATTCTAACAATTATTTTTGGCTGTTATAATTGGTCCATAAATCATGTTTGAGAAATAATATTCTATAATGAAATAATTAAGAAGAGCAGTTGTGTTTTTATAATTGTATGTGAATAATAAGTAGTACAGAAAATTATTTTCATTAAAAAGAAAAGCACATAAATAATAATACTTTAATAGAATGGGTAAAAGATAAAAACCATGCAAAAACAAAAGAAATACAGAAAGCCACCAAACAGAAGAAAAGATGTTCATTTTTACTAATGTAAAAAGTGCAACATTTTTGTCAATCAAATGGCCCAAAATGACAATCATAGCATATAGTGTAGGAGAAGGTGTGGGGGAAAGAACACTTTCAAATGCTCTTAGTGAGAATGTGAACCAATACTTTTAAAAAGGACTATATCAAAAGTCCTTAAAATGTACATTATTTAACTCACCAAATCTGCTGTATAATTTATTCTAAGAAATTAAACATTCAAGTACACATGCTGCAGGACCAAAATATTAAGCATTTTGTAACAAAAAACTGGAAACCACCTAAAAATCTACCAATATGCGATTATGGCATACCTTCATATTTAGATATTATATAAACTCAAATCAAAACCAAACTCACTGCCATTGAGTTGATGCAGACACAAAGTGACCCTGGAAGACACAGAAGTGCCCCTGTGGGTTTCTAAGTCTGTAAGTCTTTATGGAGTAGAACACCTTGTGCTTTCTCCCACAGAGCAGCTGGTGGTTTTGAACTGCTGGGTTTGGAGTTAGCAGCCCAGAGCATAGCCTCCTGCTACCAGGGCTCCAATGAGATATGATACAGTCACTAAAAATGACTGTACACCTGTATTTACTATATGTAAGACATTTACCAGAAAAAGGGCATTTACAATTTTTAAAGCAAATTATAAAACAGTATTGTAAAAAAAGTACTGTATGTGTAAATAGTCAATCCTGAAGTATATACTATACTTTCCCTTTTTTCATTATTATTGCCTTTTATTATCAGCATCTTTATAAATGCAGTCTTTGTCTTTGTGAGTTATTACATATAAGCATCTGTGAGTGAATATCTGAGAATGATAGAATCAGCAAATTACTTGCTGCAACCTTGTATATAGTATATGTTACTAATGACAAAATGTACAAAAGACAAAACAGATGGTCCTAAAGGAAATTCATGTACTTCAAATATGTCCTAAGTCAAGGGCATATTCTTGTATACATTTTTATCATAAAAAATATATGTGCATAGAATATAACAAAACTATTTCAACTGTTTAAAATCTTTTAAATATTGTAGATGTTCTAAGGGATTTTATAAAAGAACATAGAGTACATTATTTTGTGTATGAAATAATTACACTCTACTAAATCTATAAATCTGCTGACTAGTGGACAAGGATAAATACTAGGTGAATGACTGATTTATTGGCTGCTAATTAAACAAGCTAAGGGATGCACTACTGGCCTACTGTAGGTGGTTAAAAAAAGGCAACAATAACAAAAATGATGATCAACATAGTATGAGTCAGAAATGATTTTCAATGCTGAAAAATAGGAGCACCACCAGCTGAGTCAAATGGTATGCACATTTTAGAAACTTGTTACATATTCAAAATCACTGTTCTATAATACAATGACTTAACTCTCTGCTTCCATCAGGCTTGCGTGAGTCTAATTTTTCCTCAGGGAGGCTGATCCCATGAAAGTTGCAAATTCAAGTTCTAAAACTGGGGAGTAAAGAGAAGTTTCTGGACCCAAACATATCCTATCAGAAACAGCAAGTCATTAAATAAAGGTTAGCTATAGCCTTTTGGGAAGTTTGAGTGAGATGGGTTTTTGCTGCAGCTGTGGTTGAGCACTAAGCTGCGATCCTAAGATTAGCAGTTCAGAACCAACAAAGGCTCTGTGGGAGAAAGGCAGGGCTTTCAATTCCAGTTGAGATTCACAGCCTCGGAAACTCACAGGGGCAGTTC